CCTCCTCCTCCTCCTCCTCCTCCTCCTCCTCTCCCTTCTAGCACTGATAATGTTACCTAGTTGGACCATGAAATGTTTGCAAGGAAACCACTAAACTCAGAGAGCCCACAGTTCAACCCTGAGCTACAGATATGATCCTTTATTGGGTATCCAGGCGTTCGGCAAACTTCTAACTTAGGCTGCAGTGACTGTGCCATTGTTAACATGCACATGTGATAGTCTGTGCTTTTCACCTCTTTTACGGCCACATTCTTTTGGCCGTCTTCTTTTTTGGCCCAATCTTTCTGGGACTCTACAAGGAGCCTGTGGGCTCCTCTTGGCTGTACAGGGAGACCTTGACTTACCACCAGCCACCTCGTGACCCTTCAAAAAGGGACTGTCCTCACACTTATGACCATGATTACAGCATCCCCATGGTCACACAATCAAAATCCGGGTCGTGGCAACTGGCGTGTATTTATGATCGCAACCTGCCGGGCCCAGCTTTGGACTGGCAAAGTCCATGGGGGAAAAACAGATCTGCTTAAAGACCCTGTGCTTCTCTTAACGATGGCTGTGCTTTACTTAACGGCTGTGGCAAAGAAAAACGTTGTAAAACCAAGCACGGCTCGCTTAACAACCGCTTTGCTCTGGAAGGGAGCAAAGTTGGGCCCTAGTTACGATCATAAGTTGATCTGCTGTAGTCCATTCCCTTGGCAGTCTTGTGGCCCACCAGCGGTCAGCAGAGCTGGCAGCAGACTCGGACAGTGAGGAGGTTGGGGCGGAGCATGGGCCAGTCCTGGAGTCTGGGGAAGGCTCGGACGAGGGCTCTGCGTCGGAGGCAGAGACGGGGCCAGGGCCGTCCGACAATTATCAGCTGCCTTCGGAGTCAGAGATCAGTGGGGAAGAAGAACAGCTGGAGCCTGTTCCCAGGGTGCGCATGCACAGAGCTGCCAGAAGAAGGGAACAGCTAAGTAACAAGGGTCGACTCGGGAGTAAAGGCACAGGTGGACAGTGAATGGCCCCTCCCATAGGGAATAAAAAAGGAGTGAAAGGGGCTTTTGCTGGAGACAATTAGTTCAATTCATTAGGGTGAAGATTTCTTCATGACTCTCAGAGACTCCTTGCCAAGTATTTTTTTTTTTGTACAGCATCGGAAGCTATCGGTCTGGCAGCTCTCCAAGCCTGATAAGGTCTGTGGTTGCAATTCACCCTTGAAAGACTGTTGGCCGGGACTTTGCTGGATGTGAATGATATAGGAATTCACATTAGCCTAATAAAAAAGAGTTTTGCTGGGATGAGGTGACCGCTTTGTGATTTTTGTTAAGCCTAGGTCGGAACAGGCACATTGTTTCACTGAGTTCAGGACTTAGGGTTGGAGAAAGACACAGATATGGGGCCAATACTTAGGGGTACCCTTGTGGGAAACCTTGCCCTTTGCACGGGGGTGAACTAAAAGAATCCATATTGGATTGCGGTGTTCACCGGTGTTCCCCAGGTGCAGCAAGAGCTGGGAAGTCCATCCTGCTGGCTTGGTGCTGACCGTATCTCCTACCACACGGAGGTCCTCCTTCTGGAAACACTGTGTGAATAGGTACAAAACAGGCGTGTGCGCGCATCCCAATGTTTATCTCATGCCTATTACGAACATCTGCTTGCTTAAGAATTGAACATCAAATACAGAACATGGATTTGAGGCAGGCGTGGCTTTGGGGTTTACCGTTGTGGCTGGATGTGAGGGAAAAGATCTTCTCCTGCAAGTACCCCGTTTCCCCGAAAATACGACCTACCCTGAAAGTAAGCCCTAGCTTGATTTTTTACGCGTGCGCCCAATATAAGCCCTACCCCTCAAAATAAGCCCTAATGAAGATCCTGCCTACTCCAGAGTGGACGGGTAAAAATTAAGCTAGGGTGGGGATTGGGGGTGTGTGGAGCTACCCTACTACTTACCAGTTGTAGCCAGGCCTCCCACATCCTGATACCTGCCTTGCCTGCCCATTGCTTCTACGGCCGGCAAGGCTGGCCATGCTTTCCCGAAGGCCTCTGAGGCTGATAACAAAACTCCGGAATGATCCAGAAGTCTCTTATCGGCTGCCGAAGAAGTTCCTGAAAGCCACTGACAGCGAAAAGGAGGCCGGAGGGCCACACGTGCAAGTGAGGTTAGTCGGTGGAGGACATCCCCCCGAAAATAAGACCTGGTACCTTTTTTTTTTTTTTGGTGGCAAAAGAAATAGAAGACAGGATCTTATTTTGGGGGGAAATACAGTATTTACATCAACTGAAGGAGACCAAATTTGCCCATTTGCTACCTGGTCTATCCTTCCCACATTTTAGTGAAACATTTCTAGTTCATTAGTTTAATCCATCTTCTTGGACTTGTCAAATCTTGATTGGGTGGCACCAAGACTCCTTGCCCACATCCTTCAAATTTGCATGACCTTTTCCTTGTTTCAGGCACACACACACACACACACAAAACACACACCCTGGAAAATTCACCGCTCCTCTCTAGTGCCACCGTCCCTAGGGAGTGTTTATGAACATTGTGTGACACAGCGGCATCAGCTGCCTGCGGGCCAAAGAAACATCTTGATTTGAGCCACCGACAAAGATCATCTTAACTAATCTGACTCCAAATCGGCGTGCAGGCAGCCCCTGCGCTGGGGGTGAGCCCCCTCATCCGCCCCCTCCCCAGCTATTGCCTTATGCTGAACAAAACATGCTCCTTCCGAACGCAACCACAACAATGCTCTCCTAAGTAAGGCTGCTCCGGTGGAGGGTTGCTTTGGCTAGCTGCAAGAAGTTGGGTTGCATCACTGGTAACTTTGAATTGGGATTTTTTTTTTCCTAAAGAGAAAAGAAAAGATGAATTAATTTCATTTTTGTCCGCTCGATGAAGAGGGCAAGCTTTGGCACAAAGATCCTGAGAATTTATTAAAACTTGTGTCGGTGGGTTGCGTAGAACATGCAAACAACTTGCAGGAAACTTCTGGTCATTTATGGTGGGAGGGTTAGGTTGGCTTAAATGGATATACTTTACTCACTTGGGTGGGGGGTTGGACTAGATGACCTCCAAGGCCCCTTCCAAATCCGTTAATCTGTAGCCTGTAAAAACCATCTCCGTGGTCATCCAAAGCCAGCCTGTTGTCTTCATATCACGGCTCCGAATATTTGGGGTGCCTTTTCCTCAATGAGTTCCGGAACCTTGCAAGAAATCTGGGGTTTGCCTCTTGCATTAACCACGATCCCTCGAATTACGTCCTAAAATCATCTTTCTCTTTTTATTGTTATTACGCTACTTTTGAGTACATCGGGCCTTTTCGGGGCAAGGACGGAGCCTCTTCAAAAGTGGTGTGCTATTTTGATTTTGATTTCTACCCATTCTGGAAATATTCTAGTATTTTTGCAGTGTTTAAGCAACCACGAATTCTGACATGTGAATTTGGGAGCCGGGTTTAATTGAGAATTTCCAAAATTCTGACCCACACTTGACTTAATCGTACCAGTTTGCAGAGCGGTCCCTGTCAGAAGTAGATCGTATAATCCGATGAAGGACAATTTAAAAAGCCTGGTGCAGATACGTTGAGACAGCTGGATCGATAATTCACGCATTAGCACCCCCATGAGACATATTTATGTCTCTTTCTCTCTCTCTCTCTCTCTCTCTCTTTTTTCCTGCGTTTTTACTCCTTTTGGTAGAACAAGTAAATAATTATCGAAGGAGCGAATCTAACCAAGCTTTGCGTGGTTTTTATTTCTTTTTTTTCCCTCTCCCACACCGTTGTTTCAAAAATCCGGAACACAGGAAGGACAGAAGGAAGGAAATTGTAGAAAATTCAGTCCTGATCCCCTCACAGCCCAAAAGAACAGTCTTCCTTTGTGTTGGCTAACCCAAAAGGCGAAAGTGCGTGGCAGCTTTTAAAAGCCGTAGATGCAGCTTTTGGGGGGGGGGGGGGGCGGAAAAGGGGGTGCTCAATAGTTTACTGTATATATTAATTTAAACTTGCTTTGCAAATTGAAGGAGTTGTAGTTGGCGACCGACACTCGTCCTTTTAATTCTTTGCAAGGGGTTTCCTTGGTTTGTTGGGGGGGGGTTAATTGCCTTTAGTTAGTGGAGAAGGAGGTTGGAAACAGAAAATAAACTCAAACCCAGATTTTTATTTTATTTTTTTTAAAGGGGCTTTGAATTTTTAATGGCCTGCAAAGACAGAGAGTTACTTTTAAGTTTTCTGTCTGGGCCCTCTGAACGCAGCTCAAATCTTCTGCTCTCTTCTTCTAGGTCAGCTTTTCCATCAGGTGGGGACATCCCAGCCCCCTAGCCCCCAGGGTTCGCCCCCCCTCCCTCCTTCCCTTCCTTTAAGGAGTCTTTTACTCAGTTAATGGCCTGCTTTCTCATCCTGCAGACGGGAACCTGGAAGGGAAAAGGCCGGGGAAGGTTTTGAATGAGGGTTGCGTTTTTTGTTTTTTTCTTTTCCCCTATTGAGGCTGGAGTGGAGTTGGGAGTTTGCAGCTGTGCCGTGCCGCCGAACAATCTGAAGTGTGTTAAAACATTTTTTCTTTTTTTTGCAAAGCGGTTTTCTTTTCTTTTCTGGGGTCTGGAAAGGGAGCGCCAAGTGGAAGATTGGCATGAGGCTCTGTGTGTTTTTGTGTGCGTGTCTGTGTGTGTGTGAGAGAGAGAGAGAGAAAGAGAAAGAGAAAGAGAGAGAGAGACCGAAGATGTAAATGCGTTAAATCGTAGCAGAAAAGAAGAGGCCTTTTTCCCCACCCCACCTCTCCTGGGGTCACTTTGTAAAGGAAGTGAAGGTGAGGATGGGGCTGTCGCAGGCAGAGACGGTGTGCGAGGCAGGGCTCACGTCATGCATGTGGGAACCTGGATTTAAATGCCCTGTACACGACTGGCTTGAATGGGGAGGTAGGGAAAGGCCCTTGGTGACACATATGAACTCCCCGATTACTAAAAGCACCAGATCCATCCTTACCTACGTCTTTTGTATCCCACTTTTATTTATTTTATTTATTTTAAATAAACCGCTCAAGTTTTGTTCTGGGGAACCAATCTTAACAGTCCTTCCTCCTCCTATTTTCCCCACCACCACAACAACGCTGTGAGGTGGATTGGACTGAGAGAGGCTCAAAGTCACCCCAGCTTGCTGTCATGTGGATGACTAGAACTCGCAGCCTCCTGGTGATCGGCCCAAAATCATCCAGCTGGCTTTCTCACCTAAGGCGGGACTAGAACTCACTCTAACCTGGGGATTGGCCCAGAGACATCCAACCAGCTTTCATGCCTAAGGCAAGACTAGAACTCACCCTCTCCTGGTTTCTATCCCGGTCCCTTCACCATTCGACCAAATTGCTAAACGCCTTCTGGGCTGGGTGCTGATTGGTGACATGGACGGCTGTGCCCAAATCTTTTCCCTTGGTTGTTGGAGAGTGGGAAGGACAGGCTGGGAGCCCAGACAAGGGGGTCTTTCGCCCGGGCACCGTGCTGACGGTCTCTTCTCCACCTTGGTGACCCCTCTAGCCCTGAGTTGCAATGAGAATGACGGTAGCCCCCTGGACCGAGACCAACATTACCCCAGCAATCAAAAGACCAAACGCATGAGGACTTCCTTCAAACACCACCAGCTGCGGACAATGAAATCCTATTTTGCAATTAATCACAATCCGGACGCCAAGGACTTGAAGCAGCTGGCTCAGAAAACGGGTTTAACCAAAAGGGTGCTCCAGGTAAGTGGTTTCTTTTCTTCCTTTTTTTTTTTAGGGGCTCAAATGGAGTAAGCGGTCCTTGGTCAGAGCTACAGGTGTCCCTGCTTTGCAGGTACAATTCCCACCGAGCCGTGTTTTTCCAACCCTGAAGGGTGAAGATGGGTGAACTTCAGCTCTCAGAATTCCACCCTCGGCTGGAGAATTCTGGGAGTTGAAGTCTCAGAGATAACGCCCAACCAAAGTTGGCTTCTGGATATGGATATGGGGATAGGATGGAAATATTGCCCTTGCGTTACCTCTGCCTCGCCTGTCTAATGGTTGGAGGGGAAAACAGGTGCTGTCCTCATGGATGGAGCCCCTGATGCAATAGCAATAGCCCTTAGACTTATATACCGCTTCACAGGGCTTTCACAGCCCTCTCTAAGCGGTTTACAAAGTCAGCCTCTTGCCCTCAACAATCTGAGTCCTCGTTTTACCCACCTCGGAAGGATAGAAGACTGAGCCGAACTTGAGCTGGTTAGAATCGAACTCCTGGCTGTGGGTAGAGTTTGCTTGCAATACTGCATTTTAACCACTGGTGGAAGGAAGGAAGGAAGGAAGGAAGGAAGGAAGGAAGGAAGGAAGGAAGGAAGGAAGGAAGGAAGGGCAGGCAATAGCGCTTAGATTTATATATTGCTTCACAGTGCTTTCCATCCCTCTCTAAGCAGTTTACAGAGTCAGCCTCTTGCCCCCAACAATCTGGGACCTCATTTTACCCACCTCAGAAGGATGGAAGGATGGGTAAACCTTTAACCTGGTGAGATTCCAACTGCCAAATTGTAGGCAGCTGGCAGGCATCAGAAGTAGCTGCAGTAGTGCACTCTAACCACTGCACCACCATGGCTCAAAGGAAGGAAGGAAGGGAAAGAAAGAAGGGAAGGGAAGAAAGAAGGAAACATGAAAGGAGGGAGGGGGGGAGGAAGGAAGGAAGGAAGGACTTATACACTGCTTCACAGTGTTTTACAGCCCCCTCTAAATGGTTTACAGCATCAGCCTCCCCCACCAAAAATCTGGGTCCTCATTTTACCAACCTCAGAAGGATGGAAGGCTGAGTCAGCCTGGTGTCTGGTGAGATTCGATCTGCCAAATTTCAGGCAGCCAGCAGTCAGCAGAAGTAGCCTGCCGTACTGCATTCTGACCACTGCGCCACCGTGGCTTATGGTGGGTATGTCCTACATGAGGACTTTAGGTCAGTCAACTGTACTCTGTTGTAATTCTGAAGGCTGCACATGGTGAAATAGTTTTGTTTTTGAGGAACCCCTTTGCAAAACTAGGGCTTTCTGAATATGATGTTAACAGCATAACAGAGTTAGAAGGGCCCTTGGAGATGTTCTAGTCCACTCCCCTCTCTGCTCAGGCAGGAAACCCTATTACTGTTGATCCACTTTGACATTGGCTGGACAATGAACTCTAGTAGAAAGCACCATCTCTTCTTCTAATGAACACCAACAGCTTTGACCACTGACTAACATGTTTGGCAGAGGATGCATCTATGTTACACATATCTTTCAGACCCAAGATTAAACTGGCTACATCTGCCCATTGCACCAAGCTCTGGTTCATTAAACTGCGACTTTCTGAATTGCCCTTTCGTGGCTGAATTCGCATAGTTGATGGTCCGTGTTGTGGACCGCTGGTGGCTAGTGGATCTGGCAGCTGATTCGGACAGTGAGGAGGTTGGGGAGGAACATGGGCCGGTCCTGGAGGCTGAGGAAGGCTTGGACAAAGGCTCTGCATCGGAGGCAGAGATGGGGCCAGGGCCATCCGACAGTTATCAGGTCAGATAGCAGTGAGGCGGAGGAGCAGCTGGAACACATACGCAGAGCTGCCAAAAGAAAAGGACAATTACGAGCTAAGGGTTGACATAGGAGTAAGGCCACAGGTGGATGGTGAACGGCCCCTCCCATAGGGATTAAAAGAGGAGCAAGAGGGGAGGGGGCTTTTGCGGGAAACAATTCGTTCGTTGCATCAGTTGCAAAAGATTTTGTCTGTGCATCCCAGAGACGCTGTGCTGAGTCCTTCCTTGTCAGCACTGTATTTGGAAATATTTACTGGGCAGCTCTCCAAGCTAGATAAGGCCTGTGCTCCTAATTATCCCTTTGAAAGACTGTTTGCCAGGCTTTTGGCTGAATGTGAACACAAGAAATTCACCTTCGTTCAATAAAAGGGGTTTTGCCAGGACAAAAAGTCTGCTTAACGCTTTCTGGGGAAGCCCAGGTCAGAACAGTTCAAGGATGGTTTATAAGTTAGATGGCAGTTTGCTCAGTATGGGCTTAGCGGCTACCCTGAACCTAGCTAATCACGGTGGTTTATAAATTAGGATTTAGTGTTATGTGAATGCAAGCAGATGTGGCTTGCCGGACAAGCTATGGATAAACCAACTTCGGTTGAATGTGACCCTGGTCATGAAAGGATCAGCTGGTCTGGCTGTTTTCTTATTGCTCTTTAAAAAGAAAAAGAAAAAACTCATAGATTTGTAGAATTGTTCCGAATTGTCCCAGACAACAGGAGGAAAAAAAACCCTGTTGATTTAAATTTCAAGACAGTGCAATTTCGATTGGTCGTCAGGCAGAACTTTCAGCACTGAAAAGCCTTTTTTCAGCAATGGAATAAACTAACTGGAGAAGGAAGAAGAGAACGTTGCTGGAGATGTTCAACAAGAGGTCTTGGGACTGGTTTTGTCTACTTTTTGGGGTGTTTTGTGGAGGATGGAGAATCCTCAGCATGTTCTCAAAAGCCAAGCCTGTTTTGCTCAGAAAACCCTTTTTTTTCCCCTTGCATTTTTGGCGAGCAGCTATGTTGATGGAAATGATGAAGTTGTCCAGGAACAAGAGACGGCTGGACTTTAAACCAGACTCCTGTCAAAAATTCAACTCCTGTTGAATTCTGAAACATTTTGATGATCATCTGACCAACAATGGTGAATCCTGGAAAGATGAGGTCCTCAAAACATTAACAGAAAGCCGGTGGTGGAGAAATTGGGATTTTGCCCCATGGCTTCTGCTAGTGATAATTTCGGAGAAAGGTCTACAGATAGTTGCCACCTTGGCCAACACTCCCCTCAAACACAAAGATTTCCAGATCCATTCTGAATTTTCCACCAGCTTGAGCCTACCTGTGGTTAAAGAAATCTGACACGATTTGGATGTTTAAAATTTAATTTCCCCTTGGCGTTGTGCAAATGAAATGGTTTAATTTGAGTGTGCCTCTTAATTAGCCTGAATTAATTCGATTGAGGACCAAGTCATAAACCTCAAGAGTTTTTTTGGCAGAGCCACCCACTTGTGAGATTGAGAAATGGCATATAGGGCTTCCTGCCTGAGCAGGGGGCTGGACTAGAAGACCTCCAAGGTCCCTTCCGACTCCGTTAGTCCATTGTTCTGTTGTTATTCTGAGATCTTCTTCAAAAGAAGCTCATCCCCACCTTCCACTTAGCTACAGTTGGATGAATCATCTTTACACACTAATAGGTTGCTGTGGGCTGGATTTGTTTTTAACTTTTGATGTTTTAGCTGATTTGTTTTTAACTTTTGATGTCTAAGCCACTCAGAATTACCCTCTGGTAAGATTGGGGGGTGGGGCAATAAATTTTATAGATGGATGGATGGATGGATGGGTAGATAGATAGATAGATAGATAGATAGATAGATAGATAGATAGATGATTGATAGATAGATAGATAGATAGATAGATAGATAGATAGATAGATAATGGCTAGATGGCTAGATAGCTAGATAGCTAGATGATGGATAGATAGATGATTGATAGATAGATGATAGATAGAGATAGATAGATAGATAGATAAGATAGATAATTGATAGATAGATAGATAGATGATGGATAGATGGATGGATGGATGGATAGATAGATAGATAGATAGATAGATAGATGATGGATAGATAGATGATAGATGGATAGATAGATAGATGATAGATAGATAGATAGATAGATAGATAGATAGATAGATAGATAGATAATGGCTAGATGGCTAGATAGATGATGGCTAGATGGCTAGATGGCTAGATGATGGATAGATAGATGATTGATAGATAGATGATAGATAGAGATAGATAGATAGATAGATAGATAGATAGATAGATAGATAATTGATAGATAGATGATGGATAGATGGATGGATGGATGGATAGATAGATAGATAGATAGATAGAGAGATAGATAGAGAGATAGATAGAGAGATAGAAGGATAGATGGATAGCTAGCTAGCTAGATGATGGATAGATAGATAGATAGATAGATAGATAGATAGATGATAGAGAAATATGATAGAGAAATAGATAGAGAGAGATGAGAGAGAGAAGAGGGAGGGAGGAAGGGAGAGAGAGAGAATGAGAGAACGAGAACTGCAGGAAAAGGGCTGCTGTCATGGCTACCAATCTCCTCCAGAGTTGGAGCTATAAGTTGTGTGCATCTAAGCAAAATGGGAAAGGTGACTGACTATGCCAGACTCCATATTTCTATTTAAGGTCCCTGTTTATTCTTCAGGAGACGCATTGTGAGTTGCCATCCCAGTTTTCCTCTTCGGCTTCTGCAATTGCTAAATATCGGTCCCTCAGTCTGAAGTTGAAAGCTTTTAGCAGCCCAGCTGGAAGGAAGGGAGCTGGTCACCCTGAAATATTCATTATTTCAACACTGGAATATTTTTAAGGGCTTCTGTGTCTGGACTTCAGGGAGGCCAATAGTATCTGGATTATCTATCCGGAAGTCCAGTTACTATGACCTGCTGCAAACACTTTTTTTCAGTGTGTGTTTGGCAGGGAACATTTGTGGTGCAACAGTGGCTATACAGACAAGCTTTTTTGCGGGGGAGGTTAGGGTTTCCTAATTTTTTGTTTAATCATTCCGGCATCTAATTTTCTAAAGGGGCACCTGGCAAAATACGACCTAACGATGCCACGCCTCCTTGCACATTCAGACTTCTGTATTTAACTCCTTTCCCATTACTCCTTTGTTTCCCTGCCTCAGTTTCTCCCCGAGGAATAATGTTGTGCGTGAGGTTTCCCTCTTACAAAAAAGAGAGACAATTATTGTTCTTTTAAGGGACAAATGCACGATTCTGCTTCCCCCCCCCTTTCAATAAATGAAAATTTTGCATCACACTTGTTGCTGGAACCATATGCAACTCGAAAGAAGAACGTTTATATAGGTTATCTCCTTCCTTGTAATTAACTTCCAAATTCCTTTTTCTATTGCAAAGAAAATCAGTAGCCCCTTTTCCGATGTTCAAAAAAAAAAAAAGTATGAAAATCGTAATTTTTCTTTCTGCCGTACTAATATTTGGCAGAAACTGGGACAAGGAACGGGAGCTTTCATTCTGTGACGCGTCGCTAGAGATTCGAACTGCAGGTTTGGGTCTGACTAGTCTAAAGAAAGGGACAAGCGGTGGCTAAGACACTGAGCTTGCTTGTCAATCAGAAAGGCCGGCAGTTCAGCGGTTCGAATCCCTAGCGCCACGTCGCGGAGTGAGTTCCCGTTACTCATCTCAGCTTCTGCCAACCTAGCAGTTCGAAAGCATGTAAAAAAAAATGCAAGTAGAAAAATAGGGACCCCTTTGGTGGGAAGGGAACGGCGTTCCGTGCGCCTTCAAAGATGTTTAGTCATGCCGGCCATGTGACCACGGAGATGTCTTCGGACAGTGCTGGCTCTTCAGCTTTGTAACGGAGATGAGCACCGCCCGCTAGAGCCGGCAACAACTAGCATCTACATGCAGGGGTCACTTTTACCTTTAATAATCTAACAAAATTCTCTGCTGACCTACCCTGTCATCCTGCTGGAAAAGAAGTAGAACTTTCTGAAGCCAAGAATCCATCCATCCATCCCTGAAATGGTTTCATTCCACCTTGGCAGATGGCCTGGAAAATAGAAAACCTGTTGTAATTTCGGTGTAGACCTCAGAAATCAAAGTGGATTTTTTTTTTCTTCTCCGTCCATTTCATTCCTTCCTGCCTGAGTCACGTACCAAGGACTCCTCAACCTACACTTGTTCATTTAAGAGAGTGTTCAAAGTGACAACAACACTGGAAACCATGGTCATTTATGACCGTGTTTCACACTTACAACCGCTTACCGCCTTCCCCATAGTCAACGGGATCAAAAGTTGGATGTTTGGCAAACTGACTCGTATTTATGACGGTTTGCAGCCTTCTGACAAAGTCGATGGGGGGAAGCCAGATTCACTTAAAAACTGTGTCACTAACTGAACAGTCGCAGTGATTCAGTTAACAACTTTGGCAGGTAGGGTCGTAAAAATGAAGCAAAACGCACTTAACAAATGTCTCATTTAACAACGGAAATATTGGGTTCAGCTGCGGTCGTAAGTCAAGGACTACCTGTATTTATTTAAAAATCCTTATTCTGGAGCATTCACTTGCGTGCATTGCATGGAGGAGGCAACTCAAGGGTTTCTATTATTAATGATCACATATCATTGGATCCATCTCCTCACATTCCTCTGAGCAGTTCCAGATGTTAAATATGATTCTTCCCCCCCCACACCCGTGTTATTATTTTAAAAGTATTAATAATTTACTTTTGCATGTAAGGCTGGCAGGTCTTCCAAAACCATCTGACACCTGACCTAAATGCTATCGTAAAAATAAATATTAATATTTAAATATCGATGAACAGTGCAACAAGAAGGAAACATGTTTGCCTGGATGACATCTGGTAGCTATTTCCCTTTGGTTATCTCACTCCCATCCACCCCCAATATATATATGTATGTATGTATGTATGTATGTATGTATGTATGTCATTCAGCTTTGTTTGGGTATTTTCCCAC